AACAAATACCAGCTTCTTCTCCATTGTCTGACTGGATAACAGTAATAAGCTGACCAATCTCTTCTTCTGTGTACTTTCCTTTGTTGATATCATTAACCTTACGTGTTAGGTTCATTTCTTTGCAATAACAACCAAAGGTTGATTGGCTAATTTTGGTATTATTCTTGTTCTTCAGGTATATGAGGATTTTCTTGATTGATTTGCCTTCATGGAAGTGTTTGCTGATGGTATCACGTGTTTCAAGCTGTGATTTGTGAAGGGGAGGCTTAGTGTTGTTGTGATTCAAAAGCTTAAAATGTTGATTGATTGTTCTTTCAGTCAGTGTTATTCCTTCTTCCATGAGGTTATTTTGTATCTCTCGTATGGTCAGTCCATTGTCAAAACCATTCTCCAGCACTGTGTTGATAATAGCTTTGTTTTTTTGTTTTGGAATTTTTGTGGATGAGCAAGATGAAGGAAGAAGAATGCAGATCCATTATGGATCAAAGAGGTGTTGATTGTAGAGCTGAGAGGGTGTTGAATGTGGTATCTGGTAATTGAGCCAATTGAGTGTTTAGTTCAGTGCTTTTTTGAACTCTTGATTGCAAAAAATTAGACATGGAGTCATGTGGTGTCGTGGTGACACTTCCTGGATGCCATGATGTACAAGATGACTCATATTATGACATGGTTTTTGAGACTCAAAAATCCATGTCAATGTATGTCAGTATGAGTCATGTTGGATGGTTTTTTGCTCAGGGAAGAATTTTGATTAAACATGACATGGAAAAATCACATGTAAAATCCATGTCATGTTTAAATGTTGGTATGAGTCTATACATATTCCATATATATGTATTCCATAGTGATTTTTTTAAGTGTATTGCAGCATTTATTGCATGAAACACTAACTAAACAAGTCAAATACGTAGAGACTGATACACCTTGGAGAATTTGGCCATTTAGTCGGAGCAAAGGATGCCAATGCCAGTTGATGTCCAGGTTTTTTATCTTTCCTCTGTTGTATTCCATAGTGATTGTTTAGATACAAGTATTAAGGACACAAATGACCAAGTCCAGTATGTCCAGATTTGGTACTTACAATTAGGGAATAGACTGTAGATCGGATTGGGTTCAATCCGTACAAATAAGGAAATAAGATATTATAAAAGAGAGAAGTAAAAGTTATAGAAAGCAAAAGAAAAGTAGAAAGACACTGGAAAGCGCGCATGAGGATAACAAAGGGAAATCTTTAAAATAGGGAATCACATGGGGTGTTTAGCCTTAGCTTTCACCCAAAAGTCCTTCAGTAGATTTTGTATTTCCATTTTGTTTGAAGTGCATTTCGTACGGTGGCTGTGGAGCACTAAATGAGTCAAAACCCAAAAACCCAAAAATTACATATGAAACTCCCCTCAAAAGCCCTGTTGAGCCAAGCCCAACCCTGAGTCCGTGTTGCCTTGGACCACACTTTGCCCGTCGTCACTCTCAATGTGCGCTCAGTGAACAAGGATTGGAGTTGATCCACAACATTTCTTTTTTCATATGATCTATGAAGTGTTTCTTTAACCTCATTTTCATGATATCCTATGGAAGTTACAGTAGTATGTATTTTTTTTTGAGCAATTATGGTAGGAAAGCTGAGTTGCACTGGCTGTTTGGAAAACCATTCAAACATATTCATCACAATCCCAAGATAAACTGTAAGGAAGGTGATGATGATGTCTGTGTGAAATTTTCCTGGACAATACTTGTGTTGAAGCTTCTAAAAACTATCATTTGATGGAAGGCAATATTCAATGAAGGGATTTTTTGGTCGGAGGTGACGGGCTAAGAGCCGGGATAGGCTTGACAGGGCTTTTCAAGGATGTTTCATGTTTTTTTTTGCATTTCCAGGTTTTGACTCATTTGGCGCTCCACGGCCACCGCAATTTCGGCATATTTGCAAACAAAACTATCAAACGAGTACATTATTTTGACTAGTCTACCTTATAAAGACGGCTATCTAGTCGAAGCAAGGTGTGCTGATGACTTAAGTACGATACGCTAATATGGCTTCCTATGATCGTACGTCAGATCGGGCATTATTGTCCTACTCGCTGGCCCGGCACCAGCCTGCTGGATTTGGGTATATTACAAGGCTCATGGAACCACGAGAAGCGGTCCTAGCCTCTAGGCAGTATAAATAAGGCCCGCTAAGATCGTAAAGTTAAGAAAATGAAGCAGAGTTAAGCGTCCTTCTGCAATTTGCCTTATGCGCCAGTTTGGGATCTTGATGATGGATGGTCAAGCCCTGTCTTCTATGTCAATGTATCTCGAGAATTGCCGGCCAATGCACACTAGAAATGGAAAGATTTGACATACAACCAATGGTCGGCTTGCTTTCCCTCCCCCTGCCCACTGATCTCAATAGTATTTGCCATTCGTTATTTCCTCGCGGTTCCAAAACATTAGCGGAATCACCAAACAATGTAGGACGTCATCATTTTTCGCGCCGATCAGGTTTGCAATCAAAGCTGTCCTTCCATCTCATTTGCGAAACAATAACGTTCCCAGCTCAGACCTCTTCAGGTACTCCAGCGAATGCCTTCAGGCGGAACCATTAATGGATTGTAGACCCGCGCTAAGACGCCTGAACTCTTGATTACACCCTGGCTAGAACGCACACTCAACATCTCGACTCTACCGGCCACACCCTTTGCAGCCATCTCCTTTGCACTGGGGCAGTGCCTTTTCTCACGTCCCTGCTATTTCAACGCGCCCTCACAAGCAAAACAGCACACAGACATCATCGCATTGCGCGTCTAGGTCGCAATCGAGGGTAAATCGCTTCCATTGGCCTCAAAGCAAATTCTGGCCATCTCTTCCAATCATCAATTCTCACACCTACAAATAGCCGTCCGTTCGTTGTCCATTTTCGGCTTTCTCTTTTTCCCTCGAGCCGGCTCCTACATTAAACTTAGTCATAACATCTGTCACACTAACACTCTTCTGCCATTGCACAAAAACTTCAAAACCTTGCTTGCACATCTCAATCTGAACAATCCCTCTTGCAACTCGTCCACTTCAATCTTTTCGCCTCATCATTCTCTCCCATCGGTTATCTAAATCTATTCAATCTTTTTGCTTATTTACCCTCTCTATTCCTCGTTCGTGGCTGTTAAACTTTGTGCCTTTGAACCAAAGACTATCACAAAATGAGCTCTACACAATCAACTTTCGCACCTGTCGCGTCGGCCGGCTCCGATTCTGCGCCGTCATCCTCCATCATTCCAGCTAGCATGCAGCGAAGACATCCCGCGTCACTCATTCCGCGGTATATGCACGACCCTGTTCTGCTTAGCCTTTTGAAGGCACCGTTGAATGATGAGTTGATCTGTACGTGTTTTCTAACTCTCGTGTCGATAGTTATTTTGCTGATATATGTTTTTATCTTTTAGCATACGTGGCAGAGCGCACTTTAGCTGTGGTCGCTACACCATCTGACCCGGCGCAATTGCCTACACCACCCACCACTCCCATCAAATCTAGCTTCCGACGCTCATTGTCGCGTAAATTGAAAGATGCCGCACCCGACGCGATATCATCAGAATCCCCCAGTACCGAACCTACTAACGAAACCACCAAATCAAATGTCCCATCTCTGGCCACCTTTATCAAGCTGACCGCTGCACGCTCTAACGCCCAAGCCCCCACTCTCCTGATGACACTTGTCTACCTTGATCGACTTCGCCAACGACTCAAGGGCGCCAAGGCTGCAAAAGGCATGCAATGCACCTACCACCGTCTTTTCCTAGCATGCTTAATTGCAGCGGCCAAATACTGTAACGATTGTTGTCCTAGAAACGTGCACTGGGTCAAATGGAGTGGCCTCTTTACGCTGAACGAAGTCAATCTCATGGTACGTTTTTATGTATTAGACTTTCTCAAGTCATTTTTGTTGATTTGGTTCTCTTCATCACAACAGGAACAAGAGCTATTAATGCTTCTGGACCACGAGCTTCGCGTTGATGAAAAGGATCTCATCTTGATTTGCGCTCCCTTCTTACCTGCTTCTTCAGTGGAGCGAGTCACGAACATGGACCGCAACATGCCATCACTCACTTCATGCGCCACTTCACGTACATCATCCTCTGATGGTGAAGACCAGATCAACACTCCAGAGTCAAGCCCCATCGCGATCCGAACAGAACTCGCTCCAGATACCAACCTAGTACCTATAGTTGAACGCAAAAAGACCAAACTCGTTGAAGCGGCAAGCTCCACTGTCACCGTGATCACTCGGGCGAAGTCTTGGTATGGTAACTTGAGGGCATCGGCCGCATAGTGTTGTCTGCTTGGAAATCAATTGGGTTTTTGGTCTCTTGTCTACCTCTCTGGTCTTGTCTTCTACTCCATTCTTTCACTCTCTCTTTGGCCTTTATCTTGTTTCGATGGTTCTCTCTCCTCATTCTCTTGATTCACTTCTGGGGTTCATGGTTATCTTTCTACTATCTTAAATGGGATTCGTTTTTTTGGTAATAACAGAATCAATTAGGGAGGGAAACGTAAATAAAGTGGGAAAAATTACATTAGGATATGAAGCAATTTGAAGATTGTTACTGCTAGCACATTTCATAGGATTTTGATCTATTTCGATTATTTTTGTTCTTTCGATTATCAATGGCTTGTATATACACATTTTTGACCTCCTTAAGTATCTATCATTTGAATTGTATCCTCCTCTGCAATTATTCAATTTGATGCTGAAACATAATGTTGACATTTCTGATATCCGATCGCTCTCTACAAAAAATTTTGCGGTTTGTTCCACCTCATTTACAGACCAAAAGGTATTCATGAGAACCTCAACCCTTTCCAAACACGAGTCATAAAACTCGATAACCTCCTTTGACCAACGCAGCTCCACGACCTGCAAGGTTGAGCAGCCGGGTGCCTCATTGTGAGCTATTCGTCATACGAATGTCCTTCGCAGACCGCGAAGTTGCAACAGATTGCGATTTAAAAGCCAAAAATATTTACGTCCCCAGGCAGGATTGAACTGCCAACCTCCTGATTTCTAATGGGCGTAACAGTCAGACGCGCTAACCAATTGCGCCATGGAGACGTCGGGGCTCATCGCAAAGAGTTGAATAAAGATCCACGGTTCGTAATACCTTGCAGCTGAAAGATCCCTTTATCACCCTTCAAGATATTGGAACCATTCGAGGGCCTCTTTGGGAGGAGTCTTTAGGTATATTATCCAGCAATTATCTCAGACTAAACTTTCACTAGACTTGAGGGAACAGACGGTTGTAACGGGGTGATGCTTATCACCACGTGTACGACAAGATAAGTCTACTTAACGACTTACGGGGTAAGTGATGGAAACGGAAAAGGGAACTTTCTTAAGGGCCAAAAGTAGTATAAGGATAAGTTTAAGAGTTATTCGATGTACGGGATTTTGGTTCTTGTAGAAAGAAGGTGGTTTCAGAAAGATTGTTCCAAATAGAACTGGGGATTCATTCGTTGCAACATGAGTCCCTTTTTATACCTAAAGTATTACAATTGATTGAGTATAGAGTGAATGATCATCTCGTGGATGAAGTAAGGGTCAACGAGGTCTTGAGGTCTTGTACCGTGACACAGCTAGCGTTACGTCAGACCAGACACTCGTCTGATGGTTATATCAGTCAGTTTCTGATATGACCCATTGAGCTACCCCTTTCCTTGAGTAGGGGAACTCGGTATGCTACCTGCTGAGCAATGGATGGGTCCGTTGCTCAGCCCGTGGTTGTACTTTCCTGTACAGCGGTATTGCCTACAGTTTGTACAGCTGTATTGTGTAATCCAGCTGTACTACTTGGAGGAGGGCGTAGCCCTGCTACAACCATCCCCTCCTGACTAGACGCCGTACCACTCGGCGAAGGTCGAAATCGACCCATAATCCGTATTCTAGATCTAGCGGCCTTCTTCTGAGCCCGCGTCAGTTTCACCGCTTCCGTCGTTAGTTGCGGCGGAACGCGATCGTCATTTTTCTTCGGGGCTTCCTGCAGCCTTTTTGGCAATGCCCATGGCTGCATCAGGGATTGATCCCGCACTTTCGCCGGCTGCAGACGATTCCCATTCACGGAATGAGGGAACAAGGACCCCATAGGATCCACCAGACGATACACATTTTGACCGAGATCGTCAAAAACCTCGAAAGGCCCATGCCACTTAGGCTGGCCCTTGGTCGCCGTCTCATTTCGGAGTTTCACACTCTCCCCAATTGCATAGGAGCGCAAACCGTTTTTCGAAATGACCTCAGCATCGAATCGCTGTTTATTTTTCAGCGAACGTTCTTCTTGTTGTACTCGAGCCTCTGCTCGCGACTTTTTCAAGTCATCTAGGCGAAGCTGGCGTTGTCGCGCCGCCAAACTAGGCTCGACTTGATCATCAGGGAGGACGATCGGTCGTAACTTCGCATTGTCTCCTATGAGACGTGGTTTTACCCCATACAACAACTCAAAAGGTGACCAACCAGTCACTGTGTTTGGGTTGATGCGCACAGAAAAGAGTGCCGGCTTCAAAAACTCCGGCCACCGCGTTTCATCACCGGTGGTATTTAATTTAAAGAGTGCCTTCTCGAACAGGCCATTCAGACGTTCCGTCTTGCCATTCGTACGCGGATGATACCCGGAAGTATTTAACTTCCGGATGTGCGTACGCTGGTAGAATCTTCGAATATCTTTCGACAAAAAATTCAATCCCCGATCTGTCAAGATTTCTGAGGGAACACCAAATTGGTGAAAAACTTCATTGATGAAGACGTCGACAACATTTTGCGACGTTGCTTCCTTAAGTGGAACAGCAATTGGCCACCCGGTACAGTGGTCTATAATCGTTAGAACCCATTTGTACCCTTCCTTCGACTCAGGGAGCTGAATAAAATCGGCCCCCCAACGTTCGAAGGGATCAACACTCGGAAGCGGATGCTGTAACCCGTTTTCCAAGTGCTTCTTCGGATTGTCAAAAATCTGACATTGTGGACAAAACTTGCAATATTCCTCGACATCCGCATAACGACCTGGCCACCATCCTCGCCCTTTGAGCAAGGCAAGCGTGCCATCGCGTCCGCGATGGCCGGACTGAAGATGCAAGCTGTCCATCAAGTCCCCTCGGTGATCAAAGGGGATGAATGGTGAAGATATGTCACCTTCCAAATACAATAAAGCTTCATCGCTTTTGTATTCGAATTTATGCAAACATGCCAAGGCCAACGCCTTGCTGGTGTCGCTGACCCAAACGGGCAGCTCACGTTGTCCCAAAACATAAGGGATCAACAAGGGCCAATCACTGGGATCCCGGAGGTCCTGCCCTAGTTCTCCCAACGTCATTAAGTCGCTACGCCGACTCAGAGCGTCAGGAACAATGTTATGACTTCCTTTCTTGTACTCGACCTTGATGGTCATCTCAGCAAACTCATCTATCCACCTGTGCAACCTTCTCGAGGGTAACACTTGACTCTTGAGGTATACCAGTGAGGCATGATCAGTTCGGACGACAGTGTCCTCTACTGCTCCTTCGACATAAACTCGCCATTTACGCCATGCATTAATGATGCCCAAGAGCTCCTTCTCTTGGGCGGGGTAATTTTGTTGCGCAGAATTCAGCTTGGACGACTCAAAAGCGACCGGATGTTCTAGTCCGTCATCACCCACCTGCAGCAACACCGCACCCGTCGCGTAATCACTGGAGTCTGTTTCCATGATATACGGCTTCTTGGTATTCGGCGTACCAAGCACTGGCGCACTCTGAAGCGCTGCTTTCAAACTTTCGAATGCCGCCTCATGATACGGCAACCACTCCACCGGCTGTTTCTTCTTAACAGCCCCCGCGGTTAGTGCGTGCAGAGGTGCTGCCAATCGCGCAAAACTTTTAATGAACCTCCTATAATAACCGGCCAATCCTAGGAAGGCCCGCACATCATAGACATTGTTCGGCCGTGGCCAAGACTTAATAGCCTCAACCTTCTCAGGCATCACTCGGACGCCGTCCTTGGAGATGATATGCCCAACAAACTGCATCTCCGTTGCGAAAAGTAAAGATTTCTTCCCACTTATCTTCAACTGCGCCTTACTTAAAGCCGCCAAAACCTTCTCCACATGTACCAGGTGATCGTCTACGCTTTCGGAATAAATGAGGATGTCATCCAGGTAAACCTGAACAAAATCGTCAATGAATTCCCGCAAGACATCAGTCATCATGCGCTGAAAGGTGCTCGGGGCGTTTACTAGCCCGAAAGGCATGACCAGCCATTCATAATGGCCATAACGCGTCCCAAAAGCAGTTTTTTCAATGTCTTGCTCAGCAATTTTCATCTGATGAAAACCTTGCTGAAGGTCGAATTTGGTAAAAACGACCGATCCCCCCAATTGATCAAAACAATCTTGTATCAACGGGAGGGGATGCCGGTCACGCTTAGTCAACTCATTGACCGCGCGGTAGTCCACGCAGAAACGAAGTTTTCCGCTGGCATTTCTTGCAAATAGTACTGGTGAAGACCATCCCGATGTGGATGGCCTAATCATCCCTTTGTCTTGCAGTTCTTTGAGTTTAACTTTCAACTCATCGAGCAACAAGGGCGACATACGCCTGACTGGTTGAGAAACCGGTCCCTTATCACCGGTGTCAATTAAGTGATTGATCACACGGTCCACCTGGGGAACCGACGCAATCTCACTGAATTGCTCCTTAAAACGATCAACCAACCGCTGTATTTTTTCTCGAAGGACCCTGTCCTTCGGATCGATTGCAGGCATTGTGGCGGGAACCTCCTCACGAGGGCCGTCCACTTCTCCGATGGAATCGAGGCATTCTCTGGGGTGACAAAGGACGACTTCAATGTCCTTTTGTCTGCAGAATCGTCGAAACGAAGATCGAGTCGCCTCCTCAATCCCCGGGGGACTTTCCACGATCTGAAGCAAGTGTTCCTGTTGTCGTGGAGCACTTAACCTCCCAGGGTAGAACTCACAGGCTCTACCCAGCTCATTTTTTAGGACCCATAGGCCTCTGTTCCAGTCTGTACTGACGGCGTACTCATTAATCCACTCAAGACCAAGGATAACGTCGTACTGGGTTAAAGGCACCACTCTACAAGGTACTTTGTAGTCAAGGGCTCCCAACTTGAATGTGATGAAGCAAAGACGATTGCACTCTATTGGCTCGCCAAACGCGCCATTCACAAAGCTAGAACCTTGGCTAGGGAAAGTTTCCAACCCCAACCGCTTGACAAAAGAGGACGAGACGTATTTCCTCATACCTCCCGAGTCAAGTAAGAATTTCGCGGATTTACCGTTAGCCAGCGAAACAAAATCTACTCGGTGTCCAGCCGAGTTGCTTTCCAAGGCAAGCAAGTTCTCAACGTTGCAGGCGTTGAGCTCTCCCTCAAGCTCCAATTCAGGCCCATTGGCCGATGGAGCATCTTTCATGGAGCTTGCAGTTAGCTCGCCTTTCCTCCCAACAGAGGACTCTGATGCGTCATCAATGACCTCATCAGTTGAGACCAAAGGCACAAACAATTTTTGTGTTGGAACTTCGATTGGCCTCCTTTCAAGCTTCTCCAAATCAATCCCCGTGTGGGCTAACTTGGAATCACCCGCTGAAACGCGCGGTGATGTCTTGTTCAAAGAACCCCTGACCGGGTACTCTCCCGCCACGGGGGATTCAAGAACTTGGTCATTCTCACAAGGCAAAATCGGCTCACAAGCCGCAGGGCACTCCACAGGAGCAGACTCATAGTGGTCACTGGTTAATACGCATATTTCATTGCCAGTAACATCATAATCAGGCGAATCAGATAGAGTCACATCATGACCGCCTAAGCTTTTTCCGTCTTTTTACTCTTGAAAAACAACTTGGTTTTCTCAGTCACCGGTTCAGGACATTTGGGATTCGCCATGGTACCAAAGATATGGCCCCGCTTGCCACAATTATAACAATCCTTGTCAGCCATCGGAACTCTGGCTTGAACGGTCGTCTTTCTCTTCTTATTTCGACCTGAATTCGAGGATTCAGCAACTTGAGTAACCTTCTCACGGGCCTTGTCCCGACGGTAGTTGTTGTCCTTCGAAATCGCCCACAAAG